CATACATACATACATACATACATACATACATACATACATACATACATACATACACACATATATACACACATATACATACACACATACATAAATGCACATGCATACTTATATATATATATACATATACATACATATTCAAATTTTGTGTGCTGCGCTGGAGACGAGTACCTCAAAAAAGAATAGAAAAGTCTGGCATAACTACGGGCTACATCTCAAAAACATCGAGGATTATGTTCTGACAGTCTCAGACACCTTGGGAAGTACTTCTTCAAATAAACTTCTTCACCACCGCCATTTGAAGTTTTTAAATGCATTTTAAATGTTAAATAAAAAAACATGTTCGTCAATGCCACGTCCTCATTTTCAGTTTCGCGTTCTTTATTTTTAAGAGCCAAAGAGAGAGTGTGTCGCGGCAAACACTGAACTTTTTGGCACTACTGTCCATTTGACAAAACGTAACTAACTTTCTGGCAAATCGATAGTGGTGCTAAAACGTCCAGTGTTTTGCCAGAACGGAATATTTGCAAAATCAAAAATTTCTTAAAATAATTTAAAAAATGATTGTGGTCCAACTTCAGCCACAACATTTTACCGCTTTCACAACTCGATCTTTACAGACTCTCATATCATTTAGCTCACGCAACTCCAACAGAAACATATCTTGCTTTTACATGTTCGATAATTTCCCCCTCTTATTTCTTTCATTCTTTCTTCGAGAATAATCGGCGAGAAGCTGGCAGATAAGAAGCTGCCGCAAAAATATTATCTACTGGAAAAGCAAATAAAACAGCTCCGGAAAATCGAAGTGAGGAACTGGTGTTAGTGATGTTACTGGGATGCTCCCACATGTCGGGCGTAGCTATGCCAGGCACTTCGCACCTGAATTGCATACCTCCAGGTTAGTACCAGTTCCTTTTTTTATGCGTCTTTGCATATATGCAAATTGCAAAAACTCATATTGACAAGAGGCTGTGTGTGTTGTTTATATACAAAACTTATTCCGACGTTGCCCGAATAGCTGCCTACTTTCTTGCGGGTTCTACTAACCTTCCATCAGTTATGATAATTAAAATCTTATCGCTTATGGCCATTCCGTCTAATTCTTGCCTTTGCAAAGGAAATTGGTGCAAGGTTTGGAAGTAAGCCCGCATAAATATAGCTTACTCGAATAAGGCGACATCTGATACCTCCATTTGGATGGTAAACCTTGCCAGTAGTACTGACAGGAAGAATTGGGAGTGTTTTGCGGATACGGTACCGAAAAATTTTGCTGATTTCGTTGTTGCTGTGTACAGTGTTGCTGCTGCTGTCGTTGATAACACTGTAATGCATACTGCGCATATGGTGTCGGCGAATAACTACTCGCAGAGGTGGTAACAACACCGCTACAACCACCTGTACTATAAGGTAAAAATCCTGAACCACAGTACAGCTGCTGTTGCTGTTGTTGTTGATGGCCTTGGGTACCATAAACGATCTCAGAATTTTGTGTAGCTGAAGCTGTGGAATACGATGCGATGCAGGAAATGGCCGTTGAAGTGCTCGGTTGATGATTATGATGATAGTAATCCAGAGAATGTCGCTGTGAGGACTGAGATGAAATCGACGAGCATGATGGTGTAGAAACTGGAACTGATTCATCGGCAACAGTGGAAGCAGCATCATCATCATCGTCTGTAGCGGTAGTAGCAGCACCGGGAAATGGCCAGGATGCGGAAGTGGCACTGGCGCATGAGGGAGAGGAGTATTCCGTCTTGGAGGGAAACATTTGCGATTTATCCGGTTTTACAATTGAAAAGAAAGTGAATTTCGGGTTAGCAATTCCGGATTTCGTAAAATATCGCTAACCAAAGTGGCATAGTTTTAGATCATCGAGCGATGCTGAGCATATTTCACTGACAAAAAAATGATAATCCCTGACTGCACTGCCGGTACTATCGAAGGCCGCTGTTGCTGAAGTACCGCGGAGATTCAACCGCCACAAGCAAGGCGTTCCAAACCGATAGATTTTTTGATCCTGGCGGAATATTAGCAGCCTAATAACAACGAGAGTCTTCTAAACCACGAGTTTTTCAGCAACACCATAATTTGGCTGCACATCAGCGTGCCAGAAACACTGAGAGCTTTACGCCCCAGAAGAATATTGTTCCAGTAACATTAGAAATTCGACTGCATATCTGCACTTCACAAACATCGAGAGCTCCATACGTGCCATAATAGCATCGAGAATTTCACTCCTTCGAACAATAATACCACCATTGTCCCAATAACATCCAAAGCTCCGTACTGCAGATCAATATTACTGTCACGGCAACACCGTAAACTCCGTACCGTAAGACAGTATTACTGCATCACTGATATCAGTAGTATCATACTGTAGAACAGTATTACTGTATCAATAATACTGAGTCCATACCGACCGACTGTCCCGGCGATTCAGGCTCAATATTATAGAATCCGTATCGCAAATACTAATCAGTGCGAATCGTAGTAAATATTAATCTTAATAATAGTGCATTAATGCTAATAATAGACACACATCATCACTGCGATGGTGCTCCTGCTGCTTTTAATGCACACGGAAGATGACGACAGAAGCATGTGGCAATAAAAAAATCATTTTATGGACGACGACGAAATAACAACACACGAAAAAAGTTGCCTGCAACAGAGAAAGAGGAAAAAAGAAAAACACTTGGAATTGAACTGATGACGTTATCATTATTTCCGCTAGTACTTTTTCGACAACACCAGCCCGGCAGCAGCAGCAGCAAGCCTTTCTTAGCAACATAAGGGAAAGATGATGCAAATGATGATGATGATGGTAATGATGATGACGATGACAGTGAACGAACGAGGAAGTCAAATTCCAGAAATTTGATAATTTGCCAAAGGCACAAAAAATAAAACACCGCCGATTAATCAATCTCCGTAGATTAACATTACAAAAACTTGTCCTATAAACCAGAGATCCATCATTTTTTTCTTTGTTTTGTAATTATTTTATTTTGGT